GTGATAATACGGCTCCCCGTAGTATCACAATGCCAACTAACTAGTGAGTACTACGGTTCCCCGTAGTACCACGACTCCCTCCCTCTGACTTTTGAGTACTACGGCTCCCCGTAGCATCAAAACACCCTCTAACTGGCGAATACTACGGCTCCCCGTAGCATCAAGACTCTCTCTCTCTCTCTCTCTGACTTGTGAGTACTACGGCTCCCCGTAGCATCACAACACCCTCGGACTGGTGAATACTACGGATCCCCGTAGCTTCACCCTATACTCTCATTCTCATTACAACGCGACACTATGTTCACTAACTCATGCACTGAATACTATCATAGATAGTTACACACACACTTGCCCCGATATGTATTACAGACTCTGGCGGCAACCGCCATAACACAGAACCTACCTCTGCGAAGATCCACTTCCTTAAATAATCCCTCTTGATGACAATACACGAAGGGCTCCCACTGGAACCGTAGATACATGATACATCACTAGTCGTCTTAAACCCAAGACTCTAAATAACTCCGAAGTTGGGACACTATACGCGGAAACCACGGAACACCATAACAGAGCATCACAATGTCTTGCCTCTACCATTGATTCCCTTACTCCCAGCACCATACACATACATCAATACATTTCCTCTAATCCCATAATAATTTCCTATTTCACTCAATGCGCAACTTCAGTGCATCCAAACACTCAATTAGAATACAAGGAATGCGCTAACTCTTCAGAACACACTGATGATCCTCCAAAACCCTTTCCACTACTACTCAAAATCCAAGCAAGAATACACATCCCAGCCTGGGAGTTGGCTACTCAACAATCTTCTACCCATATTTTAACCTAGAAGTTCTCAACTACCCATACCATCATTACAAGTCTTCCACTTGAAATGACTCTGACCACCACCAGATTCCTGACCATTGACCACCCGCCGTGGAGACACTCATCCTTCTATCAGACATATACCACACGCATTATCTCGCCCTGCAGCTTTCCTTGATCACCAATGACCCTGATCTCATGAATTCAAGCCGCAGGTTTCTGTATCCAACCCCTAACCGCTCTTGCACAAATCTATGGTTCTTTCAATAAACCACCCGATTCTCCCCCACTTAGGGTTCGAACCATCACTATCTAACACATCAACAATCTCACAAACTATTTTCACCAGCAATAACGCACCTACCCCTAGAAAGTGCTATGCAACGCCCGATAATCCCCTTTAAGGTAATCAATCGATCTCATATACTCTGAACCTCAGATGAAATCCTCAAGAACTTCTTGTCACGACTGCCTCTAGTCGTTCCAAGTCTTGTACCAATCCAAAACCAAACAACTCAATTGTCCAATAACATCACTGACTCATAGACTGGACCACGAAATCATCATACTCCCCCACCTCGACTCATCAACCGACGTTCCATCACATGGATCTTCCCAAGAACAGAGACCCACTCCCATATTCAATACCCAACATAGATAGAAAAACCACTGCACTGATAAACTTGACTGGACTCCCCACTGATACTCTACAATACGCCCTACTATACTCAAATAGGTGTAACGTGGTCCTCGGCTATCTCAGTCCCAACTGACTATCTGCTCATGGTAAATTACTACCTCGCTGCACACATGCTACTTGATACTCTGATGGAAAATCATCCTCAATGAAAACCTACAGGGTTTACCTCCAAACCCAAAACTTAAACATCATGCCTGTCATGTTTCGCATACGAACATAAATAGCACCACCCAGGTCATATAAGGTGACATCTCCTCTATCGACTGATTGCTCAACTCAGACCGAAATTCTCCCCTCCCTCTGACTCCTTACCAAAATACTCTGAAAGGCTCTCGACCTCCCTCTCAAGGGACGCCTCTTCGAACTCAATCATGACCCACTGGCCTAAAACCCATAGCGTCCAATCTATACCTCATCAATCATGACCGGA